GTGGATCCATCCCCCAGAGTAGAGGAAGAGTCAGAGGTTACCAGTGAGAGACAAAGTCACAGCGAGGAGGAGGGGCTCATTCCCCTGATTACCATGACCCTGCATTATGGCCAGCAAAAATGGAAGATGCTGACAGAGTAACCGTTGTGCGTGCAATGGCGAAAAGAATCCCATTTTCAGAGATGGCAAAAGAGTTGCCAGCAGATGCAGAAGGCAGGGCATTTCCCCACTATTTAACATATTCTTCCTCTCACAATGGACGGGAAAAAAACTATAGGGACTGGATTCTCTATAGCAGGACGAAGAAAGCCTTATTTTGCCTTCCATGTTTACTTTTCTCTCATGAAGTAGAGAAAAGGTCAACAAGTGCACTAAATTCTACAAATGGGATGCAGATTTCCAAAGTCAAATACAAAAAATTATATGAAAGATTCCCAGAACATGAAAGAAATGTGGCACACAAACATTGCTATTGGAAATGGAAAAACCTGCAACATTCTGTCTTGCATACAGCTGGAATTGATAGTGAACAACAGAAATTGCTGGACACAGAAATTAAAAAAAACAAAGCACTACTGAAGCGACTGCTGGATGTAACCCTGTACTTGGCCTTCAGAAATATGCCATTCAGGGGCAGCTCAAACAAAATTGATGAACCAGATAATGGTAATTTCATGGGCTTAATTGAGCTATTATCGAGGTATGACGCTGTCCTAAAGGATCATGTGGAAAACATCAGCGGCTACAGGGCAAAAGGCTGCAAGCACATTACCTCTCACCTGACAGCCAAAACGAGTTCATTGAACTTTGTGCACAACGTGTCCTGAAGGCTATTTTGAAGGAAAGGCAAGAGACCTCATTTTATTCAATTATGTGTGATGCAACCCCAGACATCTCTAATGTGGAGCAAAATGTATTGTTACTGAGGTATGTCAGTCAAACCTCCACTGAAAATGCATGGGAAATTAATGAGCGTTTCCTTCAGTTCAAAGATTTTTCCAAAAAAACAGGAGAGGAAATAGCCAACATGATGGAGGAAGCACTTGACCAGCATGGAATAGACCTAGCTGATTGTAGGGGTCAGTGCTATGACAATGGTGCAAACATGGCTGGAAAGGTGAAAGGGGTGCAAGCGTGCATACTAGATAAGAACCCCTTGGCCAAATTCTCCCCATGTGCATCTCACACCTTAAACTTGGTTGGTGTCCATGCTGCCAGAGCTTGCCCAGAAGTTGATCTTTTCTTTGGCTTTGTAAATCAGCTGTACAAACTGTTCAGTGGAAGTCCTCAACGGTGGGGAATCCTCAAAGAAGTTTTGGGATGTTCTCTTCACCTCTTATCAGACACGCGATGGAGTGCTCGGATTGAAGCTGTGCGCCCAGTGGCAAAACATTTGCCAAGCGTGATACAGGCACTTGACACACTCATTTCAACAGGAAACCTGAGCAATGACACAAAAGCTGAGGCACATGGGCTGAAAACCTACTTTCAATCCTTTAATGCTGTCTTGCTCCTCACATTTTGGACGAAGGTGCTACAATGTATCGAGGACAGGAACATTATAAGTCAGTCCTCAACAATCTCATTGGATGTCCAAGCAGCTAATATTAAAGAGTTGGAGGGGGAGATTGCATTATTGCGTTCCTCTTGGAACAATTTTTTGAAAGAGGCAACTGCTGTTGCCACTGACATGGGCATCAGTGCCAAGATTGAAGTGAAGACTCGAAAGAGGAAACGCTTTTTTGATGAGCAACAGACAGAGACAGAGGTGCAAAGCCCAGAGGACCTCTTTCGGGACAAAGTGTTTAATGCTGCAATGGACAGTATAATGTCCCACTTAGAAACAAGATTTCAGTCCATGCAGCAGATCTGCAGTGAGTTCTGTGTCCTCTGAAAGTTCAGGGAGATGCCGGAGGACAGCAGCAAGGAAGCCTGCAAAAATCTCACTGAAAAGTACAAGAGTGACCTGACGGAGTCCCTTCAAGACCAAATCCTGCACATTAAAAAAATATATACGGTGCAACATTCAAAGAAAATCTTGGATCCCTGGATCTTTTGAATGCCATATACGAAATGGGGCTTCAGAGCATTTATGGGGACCTCTGCATTTTGCTCAGGATCTTCCTGTCCATGCCTGTGACTGTGGCTGGAGGTGAGCGAGCTTTCAGCAAATTGAAGCTTATAAAAAACTACTTGCGCTCAAAGATGTCACAGGAGAGGCTCAACGGGCTGGCAATGCTTTCCATAGAACACAAGCTTGCAAAGAAGCTGGACTTCAATGACCTCATTGATGACTTTGCCACCACAAAAGTCCGGCGCATGGCATTTCGCACCTAAATAGTTGCACACAAAGTTAATGGTCCGCTTGAACATTCGGGAAAGCTCAGGGAAGCTGGGGTTCAATTCTCGCAAAAATTGCCCAAGCTTGTCTTCTTTTCCACTCATACAATAATAACAAATGCAGACTTCTAAGATGAACCAGACTAATTATGCACATCGTCATGTACAGGCTGTGGCTCGGTGCGTAAATGTCACCACCAGAGGATGAGGGAATTTAAATCATTAAAATTCACCCACACATATCAGGTGTAAATAATAATGTAAAACAGCCCAGACTGTACAATGTAGATATTAGCTCAATGACGTGTTATAAACTGCTGCGGTGTAGAATAATCCGTCTGCGTAAAGAAGCTCCCAAAACCTCACAGCGCAGCGTGTGCGTAAAGGAGCCGTGGTGTCCCTTCAATTTGCCTTCAATTTAACAAATTGTGTGTGTGTTCCGTTCGTTTTCTCCGCTGGACACAGAAGTCGCCTTTGCTCAAGATGCCACTTTATTAATCACTGACACAAAGACTGATACCGTCACTGCAGTATAGCCTAAATAAGTCCCACTGCATTGTAAGTGGCATGTGTGTGTCTGTTTTAAGCGTCGTTTTATGTGCGTTCCGGGACCTGTGCTCGTCGTACCTGCGCTGTCATATGTACTTAATGTTCCGGCACCTTGTGTTTTACAAATGAAGCACTGGATACATCATGACATGCTTTGGAGTCATGGGGTAAAGATCCGACATGCCTATCATAGCCTGTGGAACAGGAACATCCAGATGGGCTCAGTACATTCCATTCCCACAGGAGATGAAAACATAAATCAAACCACTCATTATGGTTTAAACAATGTTGTAGCTGTATCAAACCCAAGCAAATAATGATGACTGATACTGACTCAGCATCTTGCTTTGTAACATGGGTTTTGTTGGTAGCTCAGTTGATGTCACAATGTTGTCAACTATTTATGCTAGAAAATGTTGTTTAATTCAAATTCAACTTTATCTTAAACACAAGCAATTGTTATAGGAGATTTTGGACTTATTTACAACATTTTGTTTTAATCATTTGCAATTGTTATTCCTGCTCACTCAATGTGAAGAAGAGGAGGATGTGAAGTAATGGGTGAATCAAAACTGTACTGTTAAATGTTTGAGTCACACAAGGGGTTACTCTGTCACAATTAACTTATTCAACAAAAAATGCCCAAAACTGTATATACATATACTGTAAACACTTCCTACTCAGGGAGAGCCAAACAAGACAATACTCAAACTTTTTCTTGCTAAAGGTTTGGCTACAGAAAGGCCAAACTTGCCAGTGAAATATTCCACCTACCCTTGAGAGGGCCCCTTGACATCCTGTCTACTCCTCTCTGGGGGTCAATGGCCCATGATGGGCCCTCAAAAAAGCAGTATTGTCAAATTACACCCACGAACTGTGACACTGACAAAATGTCTCTCCTTTCCAGACTCATGCTTGAGGTGCAGCATTTCTGTGCAATCTTCTTCTGGTTCACCACCGAGAAAAATACAACTCCACAAAAAAATCCCAAGATATTATGGTACTTTAAATCCTGTTTTACAATGTTAGAATCAAACAAAAACACAATAACTGCTTATTTTGAACAAGCAAGTCCATTGTCAAGTGTGTAAGAGTGTTCTTCAGTGTGTGTAGATTCTGATCTTACCTAAGATCCCAGCTAAGAAAACATTGCTAAACATCAGAATCTTTGTGTTCACTGCATGAGTAGATTTTAAGAAGAGATTTCTTGAGTCCCTTTGTATAGCAGTGATTTGAATCTCCCTTTGATTGATAGTTGTATCACGGTTCTGTGAAATGTCTTCTGTTTTCATTTTTTCCTCTTCGTCGTACCAGAGGGAGGAGCTAAACTGCATGTCTGGATGGACCAAGGATCATTTATGACAACATATAAAATCCAGACTATAATGAGGATATAACTACCCAGTAAAGCAAGAATGGTCTCAAGGAAAAAAAGTTAAAGACACATTTCCTTGTAAATGATCAAGAGAAGGGTGGACAGTATATTTACTTGTTTATTTTAATGAACATATAAATTATTAGGTTTTATTCTGTCGTCATATACAAATGACCAGGATCAATATATTTTTTTAAATATTCAAGTAGTATTTGAGACAGCTGTACTTCAGATGCCCAAGTGTAAAAACATCAGCTGAAATGATGCATTAGAGCTTAAATTAGGTCAAAGAAGAGTAGTAGACTTAGTAGTTGACTTTCATTTTGACCTAAAGCAGGATAAGTGATGATTTTTATAAAAATGAATGTACAACACAGACCACTCAGCTTTAAGATCTTAAGTCTTGAAGGCCAGCTAGTGATTCCAGTTTGTATTCCTGATATAGCTTGCAACAGCAGAGCAATACTGAAACCACACACCTCAGCTGGAGAGAGGTACATGGAGTAAACATTAAATCGAGCATCATGATCATTGTCGGTAAACTACTCAGTATGCAAAGTTTGTGGTTACTTGCCTCCACCTAATTGTATGGCAATGTACTCATAAAAAGGTCTCATCCCTGTTAAAAGTAGATACATGAAACAGATCTAGGACATTCCTTTGACAGCAGTAATTTAAGTTAAATTATACCTCCAAACAATAGCTTAATTCCAAAGGTAATGAAATGTTTTGAGACATGGGTGTGGCTGTCCGGATGTGGGTGTGTTAGGAACAAACTGGTAACAAAATAAATTATGTTTGCTTTTAGTTGAGCGTCATCCGCTGACATTTAGAGTTTGAAATAAGTTATGTTTATTTAAACATTTATCTTCATTACAATACTGTTGCAGAAAAGTGCAGTTTTATCTGTGCAACAATTGATTCAATGATTAAAGATCCAGTTTAATCACATGTGACTCCTTTTTTTGTTTGTTTTAAGATGAATGGATTTACAGCTATGAAAGAGGAAAATTGTGTCTGCAATAAAATATAGGTTAAGTGCTGTACATATACACATTTAAATCACACATCAGATCTTGATGGACAAATTATTCAAGTTGAAAATCTTAAGTGATGTACACTGTGTTATGGAAAACTTGCATATGAACTTTGCTTGAACTCTTTCCTATGTCAAATCAAATCAAATCAAATTTTATTTGTATAGCCCAAATTCACAAAACACATTTTGCCTCAGAGGGCTTTACAATCTGTACAGGGAGTGACACCCTCTGTCCTTAGACCCTCGGTTCGAGTGACAAACAACTTGCCCACAAAAAACCCTTTTAACAGGGAAAAGAAGGTGGAAGAAACCTCAGGGAGAGCCACAGAGGAGGGATCCCTCTCCCAGGACGGACAGACGTGCAATGGATGTCACGTGTACAGAACAAAGCAACAGAAACATATTGTACAATTACAATGAAAGACAATTATTACAGTAGCAGTGGTTGGCAGTGGTGGTAATATATAACAATGCTACAATAATAAACAAGTTAATATTAATGTCATAGAATGATGACTAATAATAATAATAACAGTAGTGTTGGATGTCAGGCAGGACCATGGCAGTAGTGGCAACCACGACCCATGACAGGGAGCAGCCATGATCCATGAGAACCTGCTGGACGAGAGAGCACAGAAACTCCAGGGAAGAAGTTTAGTTAGTAACATGCATTGACATGCATTCATGAGATGAATGTTTGCAGATGTGGATGATAATAGAGAGAGAGAGGGGGGGTCCCCCGGCAGTCTAATCCTATAGCAGCATAACTAAGGGTTCGACCTGAGCCAGCCCTAACTATAAGCTCTTTCAAAAGGGAAAGTCTTTAGTCTACTTTTAAAAGCGTTGACCGCGTCCAACTTTTTAAACCCTTAAGACATTCTTGAAGTTTTTTTAACAAACTTTATTTAGTTTTCAGTGTTGTCAATACAGTACACAATAATCTCCACATTAGTATAAAGTGCAAAAACAGCAACAAAACAAACAAAGACAAAAACCGAATAAAAACAATATCAACAAAAACACTAAACAAACAAAGAAAAAGAACAGAGCCTGTGTGAAATCATGTTAGTAAGTGTTGCTGCCATCTGATTAACCATGTCTTCCTTCATATGTCAACCATTTCCCACAACCTTTTATAAAAACATCTTCTTTTATTTTCAACTTATATGTGAGATGTTCCATCATAAGTATATCTTCTATAATTGACATCCACTGTTTGTAACTTGGAGTATCAGACTTAAGCCAGTTCTKAGTAATKGTCTTCYTCCCAGCCACCAGAAGAATCCTGACCAAATATTGGTCTCCTACATGCACCGCACCCTCCAAATGACCAAGGTACATCACAAGACAGGATTTAGGAATCACATATCCCAAAACATCCCAGAGAACTGAGTGAACATTCCCCCCGGTGGGTTGTATTTTCGTGCAGTTCCAAAAAGTGTGTGTGTGGTCTGGATCCATGTGGTTGCATAATCTCCAACATGGCTGCTGGGCATTTATCTGTTTACTTTTAATTTTAGGTGTACTAAAGTACCGAATTAGGTTCTTCCAACTGAATTCCCTCCATTTCAGAGATTGTGTTGTAATTTGGTGTGTTTTCCACATATCATATCATATCCCTTCTGGAATCCCTTCACCCAGCTCCCTTTCCCATTTGGCTTTAACACATATTGTTGAATCTGTTCTAGAAGCCCTCAAACAGCCATACAGAACTGCCACAGCCTTCGGAATAGTTTGGCTATAAGCTTGTACAAGTAACTTTATGATGGGATGTATTTTATCCTCAGTTGTTTTAATACTTTT